GATTGAATAAGCTCCAAAACACAATATGCAACCCATTAAAACTACAATCAACCACAAAATGTTCAGTGACAATTTACTTCAGGTTTGCTAGCTAACTCAAATGCTTCAAGCACTCCACATGTGAATAGACAAACCTCATCTTGATGTTTGGCTTGTGTAAATGTATAGTAATAAAATTTAGAGGCCCGTTTCTAGAGGGTTTAAAGTCTATTTAGTCTCTTAATTAAAGAAAGGAGTTTACCCCATTATTTAGAAATTCTTAATAATGATATCATTTACCTCATGTTTGGACACGATTGCTATAATAGGTGGTGAGTTTTTAATAAAAGGGAGCCTGGTTTTGAATACGGAGAATGTCCATAAGACAATTAATGTTGGCTTGAATTGGCTGGCAGAACCATTTGAGCCAATGGTGGTTAGGGCGTCCCAAGTAGATATTAGGGAAGGAAAATTTAATAAAATTGTAAAATAGTCAGGCTTAAAGCACCTAGAAACGACTCCCTCGATAGCAAAATAAGTAAAAAAGTGACAATTTGGCAAATACGCAACTATTAGGGAATATACAGGGGGGCGATGACAGTGAACTGGGTGGTTTGGTAAAAGACAATGTATGAAATGGTTTGTTGAGATGTAATCTTTTTTTGAAATATTAAGTGAATCGCTTAGGAAGTTATAAACTTGGTAGCAACATATGGACCTATACATACTGATTTAGTGGTGGACGTTGCATAACAAGCTCGTCACCTATAATGAGAGTTATTTGTTATAATTGTCAAAGCTAGGTGAGGGCAATGACAATTAGGTATTTAAGGAGGAATCTAGTTCCTCTTTCCTCTTTCGTGTTATTCTTAATTGAAGCAAAAAAAAAAAAAAGAAAAAAAGTTAAACAAATTACAAGTTATTAAGCAAGTTGGGGTTTATAGGCATATGGGCAATGGATTACGCTTGTTGTGAAAAAAACCGATATGGGAGACTATACATGATGTGGCTAGATGAAATTAATATGAAAGTATTGTATCAATTTGCTTACCATATTAATATATAGGTGCTGGAGGATAATGTAGCCAAGTGACGGTTCACTAAACAATATGGGTGGTGGGAGGTAAGACATAAGTATAAAACATATGATCTACTCTGATTGCTAAATAGGGTCAATGCATCACCATGTAGTTGGTAGTGACTTCAATAAGGTGTTGTACATGGGTGATAAGAAGGGTGGCTGATGTGTATTGTTTCATAAATGGTGATCTCAATATAGCTCTAGCATGCTCATTGAAAGACCTCCATTATTTAGGAACAAGTTTGCATGATATAATAGTTGAAAAGGTAAAGAGAATGTGCAGGAAAAATTGGGGCACTTTATGGCTATTTTGGATTGGAAGGTTATGTTATTATGTTATTTGTTAATAGTTGCATCGATTAATTTAGATGCATCAAAGTTAGAAGACCCTCACAAATCCATTTTATATTCATCTGAGTAAAAATCCATTGCTCTAGCTCACTGTGTTGGTACTGATGGGTAATAACTTTCATTTTTGGTCAAGGTCAATGAAAATGGTCTTAATTTTGAAAAATAAACTCAAATTTATGGACGACTTTATTTTGGTTCCGAATAAAGATGATATGA